AACTACCTGCCCAGCTGTTTCGGGTCCCCCATTCATACACTGTGCTACATGAGGGAGCCAATCTTGGACCTGCCATTGGAAACTGTTAGTGAGCTGGTGAGTAACATGCTACAAGGAAACATCTAGAACTGTGTGGTACAGCCAAGCCAAACAGGTTGTTCCAGTGCCCACTTGCCTAGGGAATTAAGACTTCTTGCCTTCTAGAGCTTGCTTAGTGTGTCAGTTACATATTTTTGTGCATCAAGCCACCCCCAAATTAAAACAACAGTGAGTCATTGGTTTTTCTCCTGGTCTTGACTAGACTCGCCTGGCCATCGTAATCAGGAGGCACCTGTGATGGTCAGAGGGTTGGCTGCTAATGTGGCCTCCCTCCCAGGTCTTGGTGTTGGCTGATCTCTGGGCCCCTCTCTCCACATGGCCTCTCGTCATTCAGTGGGCTAACTCAGGCTTCTACACATGGTGACCAAAGCACGAGAGCAGAAGGTATAAGGGGTTTGGTGGTATTAGCTCCAAACTCACATAGTTCCAATTCTGCCATATTTTATGGGCCAGAGCAAGATGTGAAGCCAGCCCAGATTCTAGGGGCAGGGAAAGACTCCATCTCTTGATGGGAAAAGCTGCAAAATGTGGCTGTGTTTTTGAGTTTTTTACATTTAGGAGATTTCTCAGCCTATTCAGGCTACTCTAACAGAACACCCTAGAATGGGTGGCCTGTCAACAACAGAAATTTACATCTTACATTCTGGAAGCTGAGAGGTCCAAAAATAAAGACACCGACAGATTTTGTGTTTGGTGAGGGCCACTTCCTGATTCATAGAGAGCCATCTTCTCATGGAGTCCTCACATGGCACAGGATGTGAGGGAGATTTCTCGGATCTCCTGTAGGACACTAATCCCCTTCATAGCCACACAGTCCCAAATACTTAACCACATTCCCAAATCCTACCTCCAAATATGATCACATTGGTGATTAGGATTCAACATATGAATTGGGGGTAAGGGTTAAACATTCAGTATTTAACTGTATATTAGAGAAATAAATCCTAAGATAATGGAAGTTCCCTGACCCATGATCTTATTCATTTTTTAAAAAATCATTACCTGGTAGATTAGCATCCTAAACTAAATTTGCTGAGATCTAAAAGGCTCTTATGGAGAGAATTCTAATGCAAGTGAACTAGTTTGGGGCAGATTTATGGTAATATGTATGCTTTCTTTTCCCAATGCATTTTTTTTATTTAGGGATCTTGAATTATCCTCTCCATTATATAGATGAAAACAGAGATTCAATCAAAGAGAGTGATTTGTCACAGGTCACATGGTGAGTCAACAGTGGACCTGGACCTTGGACTCAGATTTTTGGACTCCCAAGTGTGTGCTCTTTCCTCACCAGACCACACTGTCTTTCTGGTTCTAACAGTGAAATACTACAGGCATGATTTTTACCTAAGAAAATGGTGCATATTTTCACCTGATTCATTGAAACTGCTTGCCATAATCCTCTCCCAATTTTCAGAAGCCACCTTTTGTCCCACCTGATTTCATTTTTGCCTGTGTAGTGTTTGGTTAAAGGCATTTGAAATACTTCCCTCTTCCATGGGTTTGCTGTCCCCATATTGTTCATTCTACCAAAGCCAGCCTTGCAGAGTTCCATTGTAGGTCCCCTTGTCATGATTTTTCTTTAATTTCAGACTCTGATGCCAGTGCAGACTGAAGATGATGGGAGCCGGATAGAGAAACCCATGGAAATCCCCAAAGAGCTCTGGATGATGGTGGATTACCTATACCGAAATGCTATCCAGCAGGTAGGGTGTGGCTAAGCATTCAGACCTGATTTGAAGTCAGACTGCCTTGAGAAAGACCATTAAATCCAAGAACTTCTTGCATGGAAATGCAAGAAACTTGTGAAGAGCTGTCCTTCCCCCAGGGAATGAGTGAGAGGTTTTGTGCCATGTTTCGCATCCTGGTGCGATTACACATAGTACTTGATTACCCCAGTGGAAGCAGCCTTGTACTGAACACTCTCCCAGCACAGCATGTTCCTTTCCTAGGTCTCTAGGGTCCTCCAGCAACAAAACCATATGAAGGCCTTCTGGGATGTCTCGTTTGTGGGAAATTTCACCAGCTTCTTGGAATGGGATGCACTAAATTATTGAAAGTCCAGGCAGAGACAGAGGACCAAATGGAACCCCCATGAATCTGGAGGCCTGATTTCTAGACGAACTTGGGCAAGCTTCATGGGGTCAATTGGTCAGTTTGACTGATCTGTCTGTATAGGTTCCACAGAAACCTACACAAATTGTAATCCCACAACATACTTTTTTTTTTTTTTTGGCAGTTCTGGAGACCAAAGCCAGGGCCTCATACATATTAAGCCAAAACTTTACCACTAAGCTACATCCCTAGTCCAGCAACATACATTCTTATGATGTTCTGTTTTCACCTTACATTTGAGTGTTGCAATATACCAAACACTGTTCTCAGCGTTTCGCTTCATTGCCTCATTGAATTCTTGTAATAGTTCTCAGATGAGGAGACAGATGCCCAGAAAGTGAATAAATTAGTTAAGGTCCCCAGGCTGATTAATAGGCAGGGTTAGGAATATGGCTGTAGAAGTTACATTTTTGAGTACTTTGCTAGTCTACCTTCTCGGGAGTACTTTTAAATGTAACTTTTGAACAATACATTTAATACTGTTACTTTTATCACAGTTATATAATGTTAAATCAGTTTATAAAACATGAATGTAAAGTATCCTGAAACTATTGGAAATAACCTTTGTTGCCATAATCTTGTTGGTTCAGTGTTCTGAGGTACCTTTTTAGCTTTATCCATCTTACAGATGATATATTTTTTTCAGTGTGTCCCCTCTTCCCTCTTAATCCCTTCATAACAAGGCAGGAAACTGCTACTTGGATCTTGTCTTGGATAGTGTGCCCTACCCATAGTTTTATAATAAATGCCTAAAGACCTATTGCACAACCATGTCTGAGAAGATGAATTAGCCACAACAACCTAAATCATATTGTCAACCAGGATGATTCAGAGATCTCTTGACACTGCTCCTTTTTGTACTTTGATTTTCTGAGAAAGTAATTGTCCTGTGACTTTCTTCCTTCTTGCAGGAAGATCTATTTCAGCAGCCAGGCCTGAGATCAGAATTTGAACATATCAGGGACTGTCTGGATACTGGAATGATTGATAATCTCTGTATCCTTCAGATGTTCAGATTTGTGCATATGTGTGTATGTGTGAAAATGAGTGAGAGCGGTGAGAAAAGGGTAGGGATATTTTTTAAGGTTTGTAGTCTGAATCTGGGTCCTCAACCATCATATTTTTCTTTCTCAAAGTTTGCCTAGAAAAGTTTTACAACCTTAAGCAACCAATATAGCAGGAAATTAGGAAGGCCTGGCTCACTTGACGGTGTGGCCCCTTCCAGATGTCAGGCTGGCATCCTAGCTCTGAACAGAAAGCCTGATGAGGCAGTGCTAGCATGTACTTGTAGCATGTGCTGGCCCTGGGTCTTCTGCTAACCATGGGCAACATCATTACCTGTTCCTTAACGATGGGCCAAAAGCTGCTAGCAATCATTCTGTAGCTGAAGCCTTGCTGCTTTTCCTGGAGAGCCTGCCAGAGCCTGTCATCTGTTACAGTGCCTACCATAAGTGCTTGGAGTGTTCTGGCAATTACACAGCAAGCAAACAGGTAAGGGGAAGCACTGAGCACCAGCATACACATGTTGCTAGCCCTAGGCAATGAGGCCTGATGAACAAAGTGGGCATACTCCCTGAAGTCTTAGAAACTCAGTACCATGTCTTTCCTTCTCAAACCTGTTCTTCCTCTTGAGTCCTTTTTTCTTTTAATAGCATCACCCTTAATTTCAGTGACTCGGTCCGGAAACCTAAGTCATTTCTGACTCCTCCTTCTCCTCGCCTCCCACATGCCTGGATCCATTGATCTATCACTCATCCTCTATCTTCCTTTCTCATTCTGCCTACCTGGGTTCAGTTCCCTGCATTCAGGCTCTCCCTCTGCAGACTTGTTTTGCATACTGTCATCCAAAGCATACAGTATTCTAAAGTTCTCCTTATGTTGGTAAAAAAAAAAAAAAAAAAAAAAATCACAATTAGAGGGGGTGGGGTTGTAATTCACATGTGAGCCACTGGGTTTGCTCCTCAGCACCACATAAAAATAAATAAATAAAATAAAGGTATTCTGTCCATCTACAACTAAAAATATACATTAAAAAATCACACTTGGAATGTGGCATGTATACACAATGAAATATTACTCAGCAATAAAAGAGAATAAAATCATGGCATTTGCAGGTAAATGGATGAGTTAGAGAAGATAATGCTAAGTGAAGTTAGCCAGTCCCAAAAATCCAAATGCCGAATGTTTTCTTTGATATAAGGAGGCTGATTCATAGTAGGATAGGGAGAGGGAGCATGGGGGAAATAGATGAATTCTAGATAGGGCAGATGGGTTGGAAGGGAAGGGAGGGGGTATGGGGTTTGAAATGATGTGTAATATGATGATCATTATTATCCAAAGTACATGTAAAAAGACACAAATTGGTGTGAATATACTTTGTATACAACCAAGGATATGAAAAATTGTGCTCTATATGTGTAATAAGAATTGTAATGCATTCTGCTGTCATATATAAATTTAAAAAATGATTAGCAGTATACAAAATAGAATTAAGGCAAAAATCATTAAATGCCACATACTGATTAATTTTATAGTTTTAAAAATAATATTCTGTAATGAATATTTAACAATTTAAACCTTTATATACTAAATACTATAACATTGAAATAACAAAATCAGGGCTGGGGTTGTGGCTCAGTGGTAGAGTGCTTGCCTAGCACATGCAGGGCTCAGGGTTCAATCCTCAGCACCATCAAAATAATAAATAAAGGTATTGTGTCCAACTAGAACTAAAAAATAAGTATTAAAAAAAGAAATAACAAAATCAGTAGAAAAGTGTCATGATGTGAATATTTGTGTCCCCATCCAATTCTTATGTGGAAATCCTAACCATGGAGATGATGGTATTAGAAAACTGGGCTTTGGGGAAATGATTAAATCACATGGGCAGCAGTATGATTGGAATTGGTGTCCTGACAAAAGAAGAGTACTGAGAGCTAGCTAGTCCATCCCAAAATTCGAGAACATAGTGAGAAAGCACCATCTACGAGTCAGGAAACAGACCCTCACTCAACACTGAATCTGCCAGTATCTTGATTTTGGACTTCTCAGTCTCTAGAACTCTAGGGAATAAAGTCCTATTATTTGTAAGCTAAAAAAAAAAAAAAAGTCATACTTGGTTCTTCACTGTCAATTATTTTCTTAAATATTCAAGACTTTCAATACCTGTTGTACACTGAACCGTTTTGTTGTACACTGAACCGTTTTTTAGCTAAACGGTTCAGTGTACAACAGGTATTGACAGAATAATCTAGAAAACTGGCCAGTAACAAGTTCCAGAGCATGACCCCACATCCACTGAATCAAAGTGTCTTTTGATATCTATTTTATACAAATTCCCCAGCTGAGTCTGATGTATATATAGCTTTTCATTGAATTCTAGCCTGAACACTGCTCCTGTTAAAATGGTTATGCTCCTTCCAAGATTGACACATCAAGTGTTCTCTCAGCTTACCTTCTGTTTTCCTTTTTTTTTACATTTTTTCTATCCCACATTCCCTAGTCCTTACCTCTACAAATCCAATTTTGTCTTATATTCAGGACCCAACAAAATATCTTTTATTCCTTTTTATTCTCCCTGAGAGCATGAAGTTAGAAATCTGACCTCTAAATTCATGTAGAGTTTGACTTGTGCTCCTTTTTGATACTTATGCCAAGTGGTGCTCTTTTTTGGACTTATGCCAAGTGGTAAGGGATTATTTTTCTGTGCATAGTCTTATGCACATTCATGGATCACATACTCAGTTCTTGGAGTACAGTCACCAACTTGACAAATAATTGAATGAACAAAATGACAAATTCAAACTCTTCCTCTTTCAGGTTATTTCTACTCTTCCCACATTCCACAAAAATGTCTTCAACTACTTGATGGCGTTTTTGCAAGAATTGCTGAAAAATTCAGCAAAAAATCATTTGGATGAGAATATTCTAGGTAAGTGACCAAATGTCTGTGGCATCTCTGCAAACTGAGGATTCACTGTGAAGAAAAGAGATTGAGAAAGTTCCAAAGTACATTATAGTAGAATTAAAATTTCAAGTTTTGGCCAAAGTTTATATTCAAATATATTTTTTTTAAGCAAAGACTGCTTTTGGGTACCCCTCCCCACTCCTAACAACACAAGAATATATAGTCCTTATATTGCTAATCATTTATTTTCTGTGTTTTTTCATGCAGCTAGCATATTTGGCAGCTTACTGCTTCGAAACCCAGCTCAACACCAAAAGCCTGAAACAACGGAGAAAAAGAAGGCACAAGAGTTTATTCACCAGTTCCTATGCCACCCACTCTGAGGCTTTCTGTCTCATTCCTTGTTTTACCCAGGGTAGCCAATTTCCAGCTCCACTTGTTGCAGCTCAAGAGATCCCTTAAAAACATTTGAGGTCATCTGGAAGCAAGAATGGCAGCTCCTGAGCCTAGACCTCCCCTTACCTGTGCCATCATTGATCAGCAYTCTCAGTGTTGAGCTGTGAAGACATGAGAGAAATCCACAATAATAAAACTGACGTTTGATGTTCAACTTAAGTTATTTAACACAAATAGATCTCTATTTTTTTTTAATTTAAAAAAAAATTTTGTACTTGTGCTCATTCAGCCTGCCTCCAGGGCACAGTCAATTCCTTCCCTGTAGCCTAGACTGAGCTCCTCATGATCAGATATTTGAACAAACTTTTGAAGTCCTGAAAAGACAATGAAATGGACATTAAGAATGTAGGTGGATGCTCCTGGATAAACAAGGTTTAGCCTCCTGAGATCCTTCGGTTGCCCAGTCTGAGGACATGTGAAAATACATATGGAACTTCTATCCCTTTCCTACTCGGATATAGTTCAATAATTCTGAGGCTGGCCACTCAGCTTCTGAGGGCAATACAGTGGCTTAAAAGTACAAACACTGAAGAACTGAGTTTTCTGGTGAAACAGGTGGAATTTTCTAGGCCAGCAAATCCTCCAAATTGTATATGAGCATAATCCCTCTCATATTTGTAATATATTTTAATGATAAACATTTTTAAACAGTGGTGGTTGTGTTATGCTTTTCTGTCTTGATGGTGGCTGGACCCTTATGGCTTAAGCATTGAAACAGCTTATCAGGGGCTAAAGACATGTCTTGCAGTCTGGTGGATAACAGTCACTGCGCACATTTTTCAAGCAAGATAGTACAGCCATGGCCTGAACTCCTTGGCCCCTGATCTAGTGTCTAGGAGTTGTCCCACTCTGAATATCCTAGAGAAGTAGCTCATGGGAAAAACAGGCAGTGACTTCTGGGAAGATCTCACATCCAGATCTTACAGGCATTTAGAAAGGATAGGCGCATCACAGAAGCACTTGCAAAATCGCTTCTTGGGCACTGAAATGCTATAACTTCTTGGTAATTCTGTGAATTAGAGACTAGCCAGTAAGATGAATAAGAAAAGGAGTGGCCAGTAGGTGGCGTTGACTGGTCCAGGCACGAGAATCCCCTGAGGAGGAAAGTTGGGACTGCCAGCCTGTGCAGGAGTGGGAGCAGGCAGGAAACTGGGCGTCTCGTGAAAGCTTGTGAGAAGGGAAGAAGGGGCAGCGTTCCCTCTGGCTGTTTCTGGAATACTCCTAGCTCTGTCCCTTGGGTCTCCTCCTTTCTGGGACCCTCTGGCCCTGTTAACGTGGCTGGGTGATTAGGGGACGCTAGCGCCGTAGAGGAAGTCCAAGAACACCGCAGGCTCGTCCCTTGAGGGCCCGAGTCCGGAATCTGACGGCAAACTGGGGCTCCTGCAGTAGTGTCGCGAGCTGAGCTGAGGAAACTTGGGATTCGCGGTTGGCGTCACCCACTTCCCTTACGCCGGGAACGGCCGGCTCGAAGCCCTCAGCGCCTCCCGGCGCCGCACTAGCTCCAAGCCCGGGCGACGTCCGCTGCGCGCCGCCCCGCCCCCCGCCCGCCAATTGGAAGCTCAGGCTCGGCCCTCCGGCCGCTGAAGCCAAACTACAGCGCCAGAGAGGGGCGGAGCCGCTGTCCCCTCCTTCCTCCGGAAAGCGGAAGCGGAAATGACGTTAGGGGAAGGTGGGGGCAATCATGGTGCCGCTGGGGAGGGGAGAAGCTGCTGCCGCCGCTGTTGCCGGGAGCCGCGGAGGTAAAAGGCGAAACTGGACTCGGCTATGGCTGGGACTATTCGGGGGGCAGGGGACCTAGGCTTCCTCCTGAAGCAGTTCCCAGTAGAGACCCGTCCGCTCGCCGTAAGGACCCCACCCCTTCTCGGTTTCCATGGGGATGGGTATCCAGCCCCCCTTTCCTGTTTCCATGGAGACCCGGACCCTGCCCCTCTTCGTCCGGCTGGGAGCCCCCCGCTTGTCTTGGGGTTTTTCCGTGTAGTCCTGGACTGGGGGCTATCCCAGACAGCTTCCCTTTCTCAGCTTTCTCTCAAGGGTGCTCCGTTCGCACTCCTCTTTGGCTACCCTCAAAGCTGTGTGTCTTGTTTGTCCCGGACAGTTGGTTTCCGCTTTGCCGCCAAAGGTGCTGGGCAGTCCACTGGGTCCCTGGGAACTCTTATCTGTTCTCTCAGATGAAGCGAAACGTGCATCTATGGGGTTGCGTAAGCTAGAGCAAGGGGTCGGGCCGGTTCCTCCCGGATTAGATCCCTTGACCTGTCTCTGGTAACTACCTCTCCCGGTCGCCTCACTACGTAAAGGCTCACTTTCTAACCCTCAGCAGAAGAGAACGATAAAGTGCAAAGCCGGACTGAAAACTAAGTGATGTACTGATTATTTTAAAATTCTGTGTTCTGCCTGCGGAACCCACATTTATAGAACCTGTGTGTTTGCCGGTGAAGGAAGAATCACTATTCCAGTCCATGAAAGCTTCAGATTTGATATTTTCACCAAGAGAGCGTGTCTTCCCAGGAGACACTGTCTTTTTAAGAGAGAATATCTACATGTCTTTTATTCATTTAAATGGCATTTCTTGAACTCCAAGAAGTGTCATGTAATATGCTAAGTACATTCCCTCCCAGCAGAGCGCCCACTATACAAGCATATCTTCTGGTTCATACCTTATTGTCTTGTGAGATAAATAATTAAAGTGATCTTCATTAGATGTGCCTTTTTGGGGTTTAGCCCTTCCATCCAGAAGCTGAAAGACTTGTTCTAGGAAGGAGGGAAGGAATTCTCACTTGTTCCTCTACTATTTGTCAGGTATTGTGCTTTACATACATTATCTGTTTTATTTCTCATAATAACTTTGAGAGAACAGAAATTACTAGTTCCATCTTACACATAAGAAAAATGAACACTGAAAAGTTACGCAAGTAGTAAGGGCAAAACTGGGATCTGTTGCTGAATAAATAGGTCCAAAGCCTTGCTCTTTCCACCATAGACTACATGAGGCCCTGAACTGCCTCAAGGTGTGATTTGGGGGATATTGAGTGGGGAATTCCTTACTTTAAGATTTATAGCAACGCAGTCTTGAAGCAGCCACTGTTCTGTTTGCTTCTTTAGGTATTTTGAACAGTCTTCAAATTGCTTGACAAAAAAGCACACTTAGGAGGTCGCATGAACTCTGCTACTATTCCTTCAATTCTGAGGGGAGAAAACTATTGCTTTCCATAAAAAATGACTTGGCCGTCTTAAGTTAAAATTTTAGAACTTATTTCCAAGGAAGATGATTTTTTCATTTGCTTTGATTTGCTCTTTAAATGAGAGGAAAAATGAGCCCTAAGGTTGCTGAGGATGGTAGAAGGAGGATCTTGTGGTGTGGCTCTAACTCTGGTTTTGTCTGTTGCAGAAAGATCATTATCTTTCCATTTCTCACAATTGGGCTGAATACGACTGAAACATGGGGGAACACAGTCCAGACGACAACATCATCTTCTTTGAGGCAGAGGAAGATGACCTGACCCCCGATGACAAGATGCTCAGGTTTGTGGATACCAACGGACTGGTGCCTTCCTCATCTGGAACTGTTTATGATAGGACCACTGTTCTTATTGAGCAGGACCCTGGCACTTTGGAAGATGAAGATGACGATGGACAGTGTGGAGAACACTTGCCTTTTTTAGTAGGGGGTGAAGAGGGCTTCCACCTAATAGATCAGGAAGCAATGTCCCAGGGTTACGTGCAACACATTATCTCACCAGATCAAATTCATTTGACTATAAACCCTGGTTCTACACCCATGCCAAGAAATATTGAAGGTGCAACCCTTACTCTACAGTCGGAATGTCCGGAAACAAAACGTAAAGAAGTAAGTAAAGCAGTGGGTGAGGGCCCATTTTGGCTTTGGGGCAACTCCTTACACAACTCTTGTTGGCAGTTTTAACAGGGGAGTAAAGGAGACCCTGGGCTTAGAGCCTGTAATGGTTTTGCCTTTCAACAGTATGCCTCATGTTTGTTCTGTCTGCTTCCTAGAACTTTTGGATTGTATAGCTACATTGAAATTTAGGAATACTAAATAATAATATTTCAAATTTTCTTTCCCAAATCATAAATAAAATAAAAATTTTACTGAAGTAAATCCATGTTTCACATGATAGAATAACTAAATTTGGCATATTTGATAGTGCCTTAACTAGATTTGGCTCATCTCTGGGTTGTTTATAAATGGTATGTTTTGGAGATGAATATCTACTGGAATATGCTTTATTAACTTAGAGAATGTTTAATGAATAATAAAGGCTAGCTTAATTATATTAGAAATTCAGACAAGACAGCAAATGAGAGTAGGTTACCTAAACAAAGTTGTCATGTTTATACCTAGGTAATGTGAGGTAATGAATGTCAGGATGCTTTGAAAATTGTAAAGCATTTTTTTTACAATTTGTACTAGTGGTGATGATAAGTGGAATAAAAGATGTGGTTTAAAGGTACTAAGCTGGTCTCAGTGGCTCATGTCTATAATTCTGGCAACACTGGAGGCTTAGGCAAGAGGAATGCAAGTTCAAGTCTAGCCTCTGCAACTTAGCAAGAACCTATCTCAAACAAATGGGGATGTAGCTTAGAGGTAAAGTGCCATGGGTTCAAGTCTCAGTGCCATTAAAAAAAAAAAAAAAATATATATATATATATATATATATATATATGTATGTTTTAAAAAAAACTAAACTTTATCCAGAAACTATTAATTTAAATAAATAGATCACTGATAGTTGCAGTGCTGGGTGCTAAATGTAAGATGCTACCATGAAGAAATACAGTAAATTATTTAAGAAAATATTTTTTCTTTTTTGCCATAATTAAGTTCTTGAAATTACATGTGGCTTATACATATAGCTTATTCATGGTATTTAGCTTTTCCTTGTCTAGATTTAGAATCTCAGAGCTAGAAGGAAACTTAGAGAGACCGTTTTGTCCTACCTCCTGCCCTATGCAGAAATCTCTGACATCGGTTCATTGGTTTGTGCTTCACACTTCCACAATGACAAAAGCGCGGTCTTTCACAGTTCAGCCAGTACTTGTGCTGGCCACTTTGATTGTTAGAAAGCTTTTGCTTCTATAGAACCAAAATCTGCCTTCTTGCAGGTACTGCAGATTAGTTCTAGGTCTGTCTTCCTGAATAATCTTCCTGTCTCAGGACAGCCAGTTAGATCATGTAAAGATCATGGGTTTCTCTTCATCTCTTGTTCAGGCTAACCACTTCCATTTAGTTAAATATATCCCTCTTGCAACATTTTCCCCCAGTTTGTCATTGGCCTTGTCACCTTTAATTGAATGAACTCCAGTTTTCCAAAGTCCTTTTAAAATCCAGAGTGTGAGTCAACTAGCATTGAATCCTCTATGGCTCTTATCTCTTAATCTGGACATTGTACTATGGTTACTGTGTAGTCTATATTATTGGCAACAAAATCTTAAATGTTAGCTTGTACTTGGAAAGCTGTGAAATAGTGGTTCTCAACTGGGGCAGTTTTGCCACCTGGGATACATTTGGTAATATCTGGAGACATTTTTGATTCACTGGGGAGGTACCCTGGAATCTAATGGATAGAGGCTAATGATGGTGTTGAACATTTTACAGTGCATAGAACAGTTCCATGCAATAAAGAAGTTCCTGGCCCAAAATGTTAACAGTGCTCAGATAAAGAAACCTTTGCTCTGTATCATTCTCTTGAGTGCAGATAGATATGGAGGCCTCCATATCAGCTATAAGAACAGCACCCTACTATGTTTGTTCTTACCGGTTTTAACCCAGTAGTTGAACTTCTAAGAGTTCATTTCAATTCAGCAAACAGTTATAAAGCAAGGTGCTGTTATGCTCTGTGGGGTTGCAGATGATTGTGATGATTTACAATATAGAAGTAGAAATATAGGGGCTGGGGTTGTGGCTCAGTGGTAGAGCGTTTGCCTTGCATGCATGAGGCCCTGGGTTCGATCCTCAGCACCACATATAAATAAATAAATAAACAAACAAACAAACAAATAAATAAATAAATATATCTTTAAAAAAAAGAAGTAGAAATATATTTATGACAGTCATTGCAAAATTAGGTATAATGTGGTAAATGTGAAGGAGGTGCAGATATCGCATTGGGAGCACAGAGAAGTTCACCTTTGGGATCAGGCAAGTTTTCTAGAAAAAAGGTGTCATTTAAGCTCTTCTTAAACAAGGTATACAATTAATGGGGAATGCGAGGAAAAGTCCTTTCAAGAGATGAGAATGGCATGAACAAATAAAAGGAGGTGGAAAATTCAGACCATTTTCAGGGAATAGCCAGTTATCTGTGAGAACAAAGGTTAGTATATCTTTTTTTTGTAAGAAGCTAAATAGTAAATATTCTAGGCTTTGCAGGCTATTTTGTCTCTGTGTAACTATTCAACTCTTCCATTGTAGCACAAAAGGACCCTTAGATAATACATAAGTGAATGAGCATGACTGTGTTTTGTTGTTGTTTTTGTTTTTTGTTTTGGTACTTGGGATTGAACCCAGAGTTGCTGTACCATTGAGTTACATCCCCAGCCCTTTTTATTTTTTATTTTGAGACAGGGTCTTGCCAAGTCGCTGAGGGTGGCCTCCAACTTGTGATCCTCCTGCCTCATCTTCCCAGGTTGCTGGGATTACAGGTGTGCACCACTGCACCCAGATTGACTGTGTTCTGATAAAACTTTACAAAAACAGGCAAATGGGCTGGATTTGGCACACTGGCTGTGGAAGATAGGGAATAGAGAAGATAAGGATGGAAAGATAAAATCCAAACCTGGAAGGCAGTGGTAGCATGCCAAAGGTTTGTACTGTATTCTGAAACTATTGGAAAACCACTGGAGGTATGTGAGCCAGGAAGTGATGTGGTTAGAGTAGCATTTTAGAAAGAGTGTTCTGAGGCATACTTAGTGTCCAGTTAGGAGACGCTTATAGCATAGGTTTGGGGTTTCATTTAATTCTGATGAGGGGAAAAAAATTAATAGTGATTTTAAAGAGAGATGAGAGAACTTGGTATGGTATTGGAGTTTGAATAATGAGCCATGAGTTGGATGTGATTCAAAGGCTTTGATCGTGTTGATTAAAAAGATTCGGCCATTTTTCCGAGTGTGTTGAATTTCCTCTGTATCTTAGTAGAGCTGATTGATGGATCTGGAGAAGAATGGTGTCAAGTTCACTGTGGTAGATACTCTAACCAAGGTATATTCATATTCATACTCAGATTGTGTAATTGCTGAAGAGAAAGTGGCTGACTCTGCTCTCCACCCTCTAACCCGCTCCCCTATAAATGGTGATTCCATTAGTGGGAATCAAGATAGGAAGAAGAAAAGGTTTAGTGGGGAAATTGATGAGTTCAGTTGGAGTGATGTAGTCCTTGGAGATGAGTAATAAGAGTAAGTTAAAAGCCCATTGAAAATGTGGGTTCAAAGCAAGGAGTTGGTGTGGAATTAGTTCATACTGTGGACAGTTTATTCAAGGGAGAAGTAAGAGTTGGTCTGAGAATTTAAAGATTGGAAAGAGAAAGAGGAACCAGAGAACATTGCTGTAGTCCGAGATGGTGCAATGCAGTGTATGGAAGCTGAGGGAAGAGAGGGGTCAAGAAAGGTGAGTATTCCTATGTGACCTTCTCAGGGATTGAGGAAACAAGGCCCTGTTTTGCCAGTTGTGTATTAGTCATTCATGTTATAAGAATGTTTTCAGTAGAGCACTAAGCTTAAGCCAGAGTTTGAGTGATGAAAAAAGTAAGTGGGTGATGAAGAAACAGGAGGCAGGAAGTAAGTATCAAGTTTTTTGGTTTTTTTTTTTTTTTTTTTTTTAAGTTTGATAGTTGACAGAAGTATGGTGAGGCAATAGTAGCTCTGGGGAACTGAGCCTTTTTTTTTTTTTTTAACCATAGTAAGTTTGAGCATGATTTAGGACTTAACTTTTGGCCATCCTCAGTTAATAATTACTGTATGAGAATATTTCATGAGTAAATGTTTGGGAAACATTAAATTAAACCAAGACAGAAATCTATTACAGTACTTTTCAGAACCTTTGATGTGCTTTTAAAGAAAGAAAATGTAGAATTTTCCAACTGTTATAAACTTGGGAAGCCATTTTTCAGGTCTTGTTTTCAGGGTTCAGCGGAGAACATTTTGAGAAATGCTGACCTAGGCAAAAGAGAAGATGATAGGGAGGGAATGATAAAACAGTGATCATTAGCTGTCATTTTCTCACTCTGTACTATTTGCAGGTTTTTTTTATTCCATTTGCAAACCTGGTTTGTCATTTGTGTCTTCAGGTCATTGATAATCATGTTGAACAGGACAGGGTCAAGGATATCATCATGAGTACTTTGTTTAGTTTACTCTGGATTCAGTTCGATCAATGATACCTGTGTGGAAAAATAGGTAGGTGTGGGATTGGATGGGGATTGAGGAAGAAGCATCAATGGCTTTAGTTTTGGAAAATCTTACTTAATGACCAGACATTCAAAACATTTGCCTTTTTGAAGTGCCATCTTACCTTAGCTTATGATTTGACAGTGATTTGATTTTTGACATTAGAATCTATTTAATTGACTTGAAGAGGCCTGGTTTTATGACTTTTTTTTTTTTTTTTTTTTTTTTTTTTTTTTGGTGGTACTAGGGATTGAACCCAAAGAGCTTTACCATTGAGCCACATCCCTAGTCCTTTTTATTTTTTGAGACAGGGTCTTTCTAACTTGTCTAGGCTAGCCTCAAACTTTCTATCCTCCTACCTTAGCCTTGCAAGTCACTTGAGATTACACTGTGCCAGGCTTGTTTCTGATTTATTTGGTAACAGCATCATGATATCTTAGCCACTCCTGC